TTATTGCCGTCCTTGAAGTATTCGTCTTCTAAATGGTGCTACTCTTGGACGATATAACAGCTGCAACAGGAAAACGTTTTTTTGTGTTTATCTACGATAATTCGGCGTTTAGTGCGGCGAAGAATGTTAGGAGAGATAAAGGAAAAAGTGGTAATACAGCATACTTCCAGTTCGTCTTTCAAATATTTTTTTCATATCTAAGAAGAAATTTTTCAAACGAGAAGTTTTTATTTTAAAATCCCGCCCTCTCCTCTGAAAAATTTTAATATCGATCAATCTTTCTAGAAATAATGCATAATAATGGATAATACCATTCGAGTTCTTATATATATACATACATACATATATATATATATATATATATATAGAAAAAATTATTATTTATCACCCAAGAAAAATTCCTACAAAAATTTCTTTTATGATCTCCACGATGCGCGGGGGAGGAGAGGGGGGACATTACCAAAAAGCGGAGGCGGCGCCGAAATCGGCTCTGCTTTTGGTATCGCGCGCGCGCGCGCACGTTTTCGTGCGGCCGGTGATTATTTACACAACGAGAATAGACTTCTATATCAACTTCCTATGTTTGGGATCGCGTGCGCGCGCATAAAGCCGCCCGATCTGTAAACGTTGCGTTTTACGAGCGACGACAAGTTTACGCGAATCGCTCGTTACCTTCTCGGCTTTAACCTCTCTCACCGCTTGCGCGATGAAACGAACGAGAATTTCGACTCGCGCCGGTAGTGAGTCCTTCTTACCTGAGGAACTTTTATCTTTTTACTTATTTAACGATACGGGTGTAAAAAGGGATTTACATGAGACGAGAAGCGAAAATAAAAGTCAAAATCAGGAAAAAAGAAAAGAAGGAGTGGGGAGGTTGTTTGCGTGAAACAACGAGTTAAATATAGATAGTTGTTGCACGATCGAAAGAAAGATGGGAAGCTTTTATGCGGTTGAAAATGATTTTGAAAAAAAGGAAAAATTGTTCCACTACGTTACCTACATATGATAAAATATTAATGATTCGAACGAAATGTGATGTTGCGAAAAAAAATAGAAAATAGGATATATAAAATTGTACCAAGTGATGTAAAAATTTTCCAATTAAGACTACAAATAACGAGAATGTGAATACGAAAGTAACGATTGTTAAGAATGCAAAAGAATTTTTTTGGTCGAAAAAAATGACAATTACGACAATTAACGATCGAGTTTAAGCAAGAAAAAAAAAAGTTGGGTTAGGTTGTAAAATGACATCTGTTTGGAATTAAGATAACGATTAAATAGAAAGCATTTAGTGTTCTCGTAATAAATATATGCGGGATTTATGTTCATGAAGTGTGCTTAAGGTTGATTTACACTGGACAGAGTATGAGACAGACTGTTGCTCATATATTTACATATACTTCATTGCCGCGTTGGATGGAGATTAGAAATATTCGAAGTCGTCTATTTGGACAGGCGGCTCTATGATCGAGTGAAAGACACTGGTGTGTTGTGATTGAACTATTAGTTATGGGGTCAATTGACGGGAGGAATGGCGGCGTTTAATGATCGTAAGGATTCGAGACGCCTGGCATTAGCTTGATTAATGTTGACGTTCTATTGAAGTCTGCATAGAGAGTGGCATGTCTGTGTAATAATCTTGAACTCCTTCATAGTTTTAAGACCAACGTTCCTAAAACTGATCGAGGAAACAGAAATTAGTGCAATGGTTCCAAAAATTTTTAAGGCGTGTTTCTAAGAAATATTGGAAAAAAAAAGAAGAAAGAAAAAAGGAAGAAAATAGTTTGGAAATTATCGAGTCGATATATGATTTATTTTATAATATGTTTACACATGTAAACGTAAACTAAGAGTTTATTCGAGATGTTGTATTATTTGTACGATTTCGAAAAGATTTTATTTCTTTGGGGCTCTTCTTTTCTTTTATTTGTCTTTTTTTAGAAGACTCATTTGTTTACGTCTTTGGTTGAATATTTACGTGACCGATCTATTTTTCTCATCGAGAAAATAACCTTTCATCTTCGTGAAACGAAGCTATTTACGATACACTCACCCTTTGAAATTTCCTCGGTGTTCCAATGATGGGCAATGAAATGGGGTTGTTTTCTTCCAGAGCCGACATTATCGACCCACCCCTCTCTACCTTATCGATTACTGGCTAATGACCTTTCGCGTGGTTCGTACGATGGCGCTGCGATCGAAACAGAGCTTCGAACCCTTCCTTTCGCTATACGTCACTTCACTTCCTTCACCCTTATAGCGAAACGCTGTAGGAAAAATCAAATTGCTATAATTTTATCCGGAAGAATATTTTAAGCAGAGAATATATATTGCTTCGTCATTTCTAATTTCAATCGTAACTTTTTATATTTTATTCCTTTACATTTAAATTTAAAATAACTTCGCTCAAAATATCTTCGTTTATTCAATATTTTGTATCGTCTCGAAAGGAAAGAACAAAGCACGAACAAATTGAAGCAGATTCTTTCTTCGTTTTATATCCCAATTTTTTTCTAATCACGTTAATTTTGAAATTAAAATTAAATCGGATAAAATTTTTTCCAATAAGATTCTTAATTTTTCTAAATATTTCAAACAAAATAATATGTCATATTTCTTGCAAAAATCGTGGAGAGAAACGTATCAACTTTCGCAAGATTCCATCACCGGTGTTAAATCGAGTAGACGCGGCGGAAGTTGCATGCGCGCACGATCCGCAATCGCGTCGTTCATCTTTTATATATACCTTTCTCCATTTACCTTTCAGAAAAGATTCCATCTCCGTCCATTTTCCATAACAATGATTCCGCCCCTCGAACCGAACCCTCCTTTTTCACCCTCCCTCTGTCAATTCCAACCAGCGTTTCCATTTTTCTTGCTCTGGTGAAAAAAAAGGTCCCAAGATTATTCATCCTTCCTTCAAATTTATTCCTGTTATTCGATCCCTTGGAATAATTTCGCATAAATAATTTTTATTTGTCGTTGCTTTCAATTCTCTCCATATATTTCATCGTATGAATTTTTCTTCCAGATCTAAAAATGTAATATAGATATTCATTACCTACAGTAGGTAATTAATTATAACAATTGATTTATTTATCTCGATAAAATAGAATCTATTGCTATAAATATTGTATAAATTGTATATCTGTATATACAGAGACAGGAACAGAAAGAAAAGAATATTTTCGATATAAATTAAGATGAAAAATGTATACGTACAGGATATAACGTTATAATAAAAGGGCATCGAGTGCAACAAGTACGAATACTCTTCTCTCTCTCTTTCTTAAATCTCAAAGAAGATCTGATACTCGCTCGAAATCTAAAAATTAAAAGTATATTAATAAAAAAAGAGAAAAAATCACGCTCGATCAAAATAAATTCTTTTTTTTTTTTTTTTTTCGAATTTGAAGGAATCGCGTTGTTCTTCGAG